AAGCTGCAGTCTAGCTGATCCACGGTCCGCATGTCTTACAGCAAAATTCAGTTGACTATCAACATGATTCAGTCCCGGATTTTGACTGTTAATTGATCCTCTCTAACTGATCTTACCTAAAGTGACCTTCAGCTGATCGCAGCCTAAGCCAAGGTGCACAAAAGCCACTGCTCAGTTCGATCTCATGAAATGGCAGGAAAAAATCAGTCCTTGACTCTAGCTGATATGAACTTAATTTTAACTGAAGGTGGCTGAAAAGTAGTCGCTCCTCCGCTCCGGTAGATGATGACTAAAAATTTGTAACCTCATGTAAGAGCGGGTAAAACCGGGTAAAAACAGGTCGATCAGTTAAAAGCGGGTAAAGTCAGTTCCTTCAGTCGGACCTTCAAATTTATCAGTAAACTGCAGCTAGGATTTCATCTAGGGTAGACTCAAGAGCCACCTCAAGGCCCAAAACAACAGTAGCCGAAGGGGCATTGATTCAGCCAGTCACTTTTCTAGTCCTATCCCAATTACCAGCCATAGGCTCCGGTCACTATTTGAGCCAAATCCAGTTACTTTTCTAGTCGCACACAGTCATTTTCGAATTATTTTCCAGTCACCTAGTCAGATTTCTGACTGTGAGAGAACACGCATTTCTGAAGTCATGTACCACTCGAAATAAGTTACTCGTCCACCTCTACACCTGCATACGCTACAGATAATTACAAAATTTCCCCGGATTTTTAGAACATATCCTATCTGGCAGTAAATCCATGACGTTTAACATTCATTTTTATTTGGGGAGCTGACAGTGCAATTTACCATAATGGACAGCAGAACGAGGAATGCTACAAACAGATAGCGCGCGTTGAAATTCATTGTGCGGGGTGGAAGTGAGGTAAGTACTGAGACCTGCCGCATTTATGTCTGCCACAGTGCACGTTTAGGAGTAGTCATATGACTATAAGCGACGAGTTCGTGATTGCTAGTAAGACGGCGTAGTAATAATAAAATAAGTATTTCACGATAATCGTGCTTTTCCACGGGCAAGCATCACGAATGGGAACTCGCACCCATAAAACTATGAATCCTAGAGCAAGGATGCCTCGCCACTAAAAACGTAAGAATTTGCTGTAAATTCCTTCGCTCTCTGGAGAGCGACGTTTGATTTCCTTGCCCGATTAGAGCGATAGATTTTTGAAATATCACATTTGATTCAGATTAAAGAATCTGAGTTAATAAAAGCGTGGTTTCTAAATCATCACTCAAAAAATCTCGCAAGAAGAAAAATCTCGATCTTTTCGGGTGAGACAGCTGATTCGTATTTGCAGCGAAGGCCCTGTGAACAGTTTTAAGTGTGCAACTTCTTAAAATCGTAAAAGTGCAACTGAAAGTTGGGTACTTTCAAGCGTGCAATACTTCTGTTGCACACTTACTTAGATTGGTTGCCCAAAGTGTAGGAACTGCTTAACAGAGGAGTTGCACAGTTGTAATTGCACCGAGGGGGAAACGACTGTGGAACTTTGTGTCAGCCGGATTTCGTATATTTCCCGGATTACGTTGATTTTTCTCTAGGATGACCCTGGATTACCGTAAAATTTCCCTGGATTACCCGAGATTTTTTCGAGTTTCCTCGTACTACACCTGCCGGATTACCAAACGGCTGTCAGCCGGATTACCTCAGTCGTTTCCCCCTCGAATTGTACACATTTCAAGTTAAAACACTTTCAGGTTTATAACTACGGAGTTGCACACTTGCGTTCCGCGCTTGGGCAAGCTACGCCCGCGCTCACGGAAGGCGAGGGGGAGCGGGGAGGGAGAAGACACTGCGAGCGACGGGCGAGGGGTGCCTCCTCTGCCTCCGAGCTCCCCTCTTGCCCGCCGTGAGCGCGCGCTTGCCCAAGCGCGGAGCGCCCGTTCTTAACTGAATATAACATTGCAAATATTCAAATTTCAGTTGCACACTTAGTTTATCAGTGTATTTGCATTACTTGAGAGAGTACTGAGCATAATTTAGATGTACACGTGTAAACCCAACAGTCAACAATGTACACAATATGATGAGGCGTATGCCAAATAGTAGTGTGGAGTACCCACTTTGGTACAAATCGACGAAATCAATGATAAAGCAAGGTGAAATACGTTGAATCAAAACACTTTTCCATGGAAATTTCAAAGGAATAATCTTCTTTAGATAGCAAATAATATTAAACCAATGACAGAATCTTTTTTCGATCAAAATTATGCCAGTGAAAACGACGAGGATGTCCTAATACAAGACTAAAATTTCCCCAGTATTTTTATATTTTTAGTCTTTCTGCTCGCGTGCGAGCGCTTTTTAGGCCCCCATTAGGAATGCCTATTGCTTTAGCCCTGAAGGTCTTATTCCTAATTTTGACGTTGGCCCCTTTATGTTAGAGCCAATTGTGCCCAAGAAAAGTTGATACAATTTTCATTTTAAAAAATACGACAGAAAATTAGAAATTTTTTGAGATATGTTTAGTGCAATTTTGTCTGATGAAATTTGAAAAGTTTGAGTTTCTATCCACGAGTTTACGCGATGCGATAGGAGCAGTGCAGCTTACACGGGAGAAGTGCGATAACAGCGGGGGGGCCACATGTAGACCAAGGGATGTGGAGCCGGACATCTAAAGCATGCATTGATATGCATGATGTATCTCGTGCATGCATTGGGCAGGCGCGGATTAAGGGGGGGGGGGGCGATCGCCCCCCTGTCGTCTCTAGGGAGCCGCCTGAAAGGTAGGCAATTAGCGCCACAAAACCCCTGTATAGGCAACCGACAGTGCATCGCCCCACCTGTCAGCCCGACCTTAATCCGCCAATGGCATTGAGATGCATGTTGTACCTACAGCTCGTTTTCGTGGAATATTAACTAGGTGTGCTCTTCGGGTTTTTTTTTGTAAACAAGTGTTGAACTTCGGCATTTTCCATGGCCATTACAGCTTACAGGTTTGAAAATTTTAACATGTTCAAACTTACTGTAGTTTAACACTCTTAAGATTCAAATTTCCAGTTCAGCACAAAGAATGTGGATAAAATTAATCGAATTTGGCCAATACTGCAACGAACTGCATAAAATTCATCACACCTGAAACAGTACTTTGTGCTTTTTAAGGCGTCAATGTTAGACAAGGTGACTTGCCAACTATATCAATACCCATTTTTCCTTGAAACAGATGTTCATCAGTCGGAGATTCACTGGGCTTCGACCTATTGCAAAAGTGCGCGTCATCTGTGCACATAGTGGCCAATGCCAAGGCAAGGTAACCTTCTATGAAACCAACTACATATCCGCTATTTCAGTTGATGCCTTCAATGAGGCCGTATGTATGTCACGGTGAATCCCAGAAGTGATCGCACTTTAAACGGCTTTGCCATGCTCTTCAAATTAGGACTGATCTTCTGTGTAGCTGCAAGCGCAGGTAACTAAATCAATTTTCCAAGCTACTCCACAGAACATCCATACCGCGAATGAAGGAAACTTCGTTTACAAAAAGTCAAGGCAAATTTTAGAGCCTTGTTTTCAGGTATTTTAAATGTTTTCAAGGTCGGAACGTTGATTGCGGTTGATTATCATTGATTCAAAATTATTTACCTCACAGATTTTTAACAGTTATGTTGTTGTTTTTCAATTTTATGGAAGAAATCCTCGATTTAACGCACTAAGAAAACTCAACAGTGTGCATGGTATATGCTAACAGTGTACATTGTATACTGATATCTAAGCAATCATTGATGATCACTGATCCAACAATGATCAGGTAAGTATTCAGGTTTTTGACTAATGTTTTCTTTCAGACGGATAAATTGGATAGCATTGCTCGATTCCTTGTGAACAGAGCTTTCAAACGAGCTACTACGAGGTGAGTTTCAGTGCTGAAATGGGCCGCTTTTCGAAAATGGCGTTAATGTTAACTAAGTTAAGGTAGAGATCAATTTGAACCCTATCACATAGTATACCTCGTTTGAAAGCTCTTTTCACGAGGAATCTACCAATGCTATCCACTTACAAAACTTATCTGCCTGAAAGGGAATATTAGCCAAAACTCTGAACGTGATCATCAATTATTGCTGATATGTCAGCATACTGTTTTGCTTTCAGAGCATTTTGCCTGGTTTCAAGACGAAGAGTATCTTGATGTAAATCTTACATAAAGTTGTATGTGTATAAGACTTGAGCAGCGTTTACAGTTTGTTTCGTTTTCTTATCAAGGATGTCTGCAACTGGCTGCTGGGCAAAACACTTTGGTGTCAGGCCTGCTGAGAAATGTCGCTAGCGGAGTCAACACGGTGGGAAATGTGATTGATAGTGTCAAGACCAGTCTCAAGGAGACAGAGGACAATGCCGCCAGATCACTTGTGGAATTCACTCTATTTACGAGGCAAGTTTCCGCGACCCCACACACCCCAGGTATCAATTGACCCCTAAGATTTAAAAGCTACTCACGGTGCGCCTTCACCATACTTCTGCTGCCGGACGAGGGCGTCAGTCCTTGAAACAAGAACGCGGCGTCCGCGGTGTCCTCAATCAAAATACTGCTCTAAGCCCCTTCTACATGCTCCCGAAAAAGTTTGTCAATTTAGTCAAAAAAAAAAAACACCCTGCAAGTATGCATTTTAATTATTTGTTTGTCGGTACTCTCGCAGGGCTAATATTTCTGATGGAGTGCGAATTTATGCCAACAACTTAACGAGCATTCGATCCTCCAACTTTGACTCATCTAAGAAGACAAAATTCTGCACGCATGGGTATCTCTGCAACACCAAACCGAGGTCTGGGTGCGACAATATAAAGAACGGTGCGTTGCTTTGGGTCTTGTTCCAGACGAATTATTGTCGGTCCAGCGAATCCAGATTCATGTCATGTCACATTCTCACACACTGTGTATATTGGCAGCCCTGCTGAAGTCGGGAGACTACAATGTCATCCTTGTCGACTGGTCAGCCCTCGATAGCAAGCTTCTTTACGCTATCAACGTAGCTGTGAGGCTGCCTGCAATCAGCAGTGTTTATGCGGACTTGGTACAAGACCTCTTGGATGAGGGTGCAGATGCTGACGACATGCACTTAATTGGACACAGTCTGGGTGCCCACCTCTCGGGATTGGTCGGGGAGCAGACACTTGCCCCGCACAATAAGGGAGTCATCACCGGTTCGTACTCGCTCCTCAGATGTTCAACAAAGCAAAAATGTTTCTTGTATTGCAAGACCCAGTCTTGGATTTTATGGAGTACACCAATGGTATCCAAGACCGAGTATTGAAATCCAAGAGGAAAAAAAAAACAATTACCGTGAAGTTAAAATCCCTACTGTCAAACCCATACTACTAAATAATTACGGGTTCGTGTATCGCAGGGCTGGACCCCGCTGGGCCACTCTATGAGGGCTCCGACTCGTCCCACCGTTTGAGCCCAGATGACGCACGTTTTGTGGAGGCAATTCACACCAACGGCGGCATATTAGGAATTGTGGAGGCCGTGGGTGACCTGGATGTGTACTACAACGGCGGCGTTGGCACCCAGCCGGGCTGCCCCTTCGACGTGGCAGGTAAGATGCTTCCCTATGCGACCAACAGATCAAACTTGCAAGTAACAAACACCTCGTGGGCACGCAGACGTATATAAGCTACAAACTCCATTTTGCATCCACAAAGTTCCTCGCAAACAACTGCTCTTCCCAAAGCGTACAAATAATGAAGCATGTGTACTACAAACAATTTGCTGGAAATATTCCTGAGAGCCTGGTTTGTTAGTACTACAAATCGGGCTCTTTCGCTTTGCAAACCGAGGCTTCGTAATATGAAGGAAAATTGTTTAACATGGCTGCTCCGGATCCTCCAAACGTTGCTAATCCGATTCTTCGTAATACGCGGTAATACGAGCACTGCTGTTTGTAAGTAACTTAGAGTGTCTAAAAAATGATTCAGTAGCTTCATAGGGAACAAAACAGTACGCTCGTATATTTCTCAGATTCATTCGGCTGGCAGGTAGCCACCTGTATATCAGACGGGGTATAGCTTGCACAGCCTGAACTTGGCAGTTACTTGACGGACGTACTTCAGGATTATCCCTAATAATCCAAGGGCGCCTCGCAAGGCAAGTATTTTGTTTCGAAATAAAAGTTTAACTAAATGAGTTTCCCCGTTCGCAGGAATTTGCTCACACTGTTTTGTCTTTGATGCGTACATCAACGCCATTGAGAATCCAAATGCCTTCATAGCAACCCAGTGCCCTTCCATGGCTCAACTCAGGCAGAAAGCCTGCGCAGGAAATGCAACTACCTTTCTAGGACTCGAAGTTAACCAAGAGTAAGTACCAGGTGCTTTGCAAGAAAAAAAAAAGAAAGAAAAAACACCCTTGCAGGACTTTTGAAAATCGCGCTCGCATTTTAGTGAACTCAAAATCTAAGCTAATGCAACACTTTCAATTTCGCAGGAGCAAAGGGGTTTACTACATCGACTCAAGTCTGAAGGCTGATTTGTCGGCAGTAAGACAGTGCGTGCCCAAAACAGAAGGCCGTTAAATTTGAAATAGATGTGTCATACGTCGTATTTGTGCATGTGCATTTCCCCTCTTATCTTGACACGAACCAACATGGCCCCATCATGATTTGCATCTCAGCCCACAGTATGTGGTCGGTGAACAAGATCTGACAGAGATGGGACGTGACTTGCGTGTCTCTTCTTTTAGTCCGAATACACTCTAAATGGGAAGGTACTGCGAGCGAAGGAGCGCCCCTTCTGCCTCCTCGCTCCCCCCACACCGTGAGCGCGCGCTTA